ATACACCCATCCTGATAATTCCTCTACGAATCCGAAGTTATTTTCTCTTTTTCCTCCAAATGCTACAGTGCAAGTCAAAAAAATCATAGAACATTCCGTGCCTCTTATCATAGCCCGCTACAAAAGCTCGATTCTTAACCATACCGCGGGCTCGAAATTCTTAGGCACCGCATTTTAACCTTTGAATTCTCTAGGACCGTTGTTGAGAGTCACCCACTCTGGCTTGGTCCCGAATATAATCAACTCCAAGGCTCCGTTGGCAAATGAACACCCATCTCAAAGAAGCACTCGATTGAATCACTTCCCTTGTAAATTACCTCTATACGAAGCATAAATCCCGAATCTTCCTAAAGCCCGAACAAGAGTCAATAAGACCAACTATAGCATACCTTTATCAATTCCTTTGCTCAAATTACCACTTATGTTCTTTTCCCTTAGCTGTAATAACTCACCAATATGCCGATAACCCGAAACCTTACAAGTAGATAACCATGCAACCAATCATAGGCGGTGGGACTCTCCCACCTAGCTTGGAGCTACTATTACACAACTCTGGAACCCACCAAGATTCTTTCTTTATTTATGACATGATCTTGCACAACCAACCCGCCAAATTCCTCGAAATCCTTCTGTTAGCATTTCACGAACACTCTGAATCTCTAGCAACATTCACATATTCGACCTCTTACTGGATAGTCAGTAAATTCTTCACAGAAGCTTCATCAACCACGCGACTGCTGACCTGCTCACAAGAGATAATTCGCCTATGGGAATTACATGTCGACATCATTCAACATCATTGCACGAGGTACAATCACTACGACATCAATAACCCATCCTAAGCCCGTTCTCATTCACCAATTGTACCCGTCCGTTCACTCCTTATGGATATCAACTAAATGTGCGACAATATCTTACAATCCAAAGTTATATTGCACCCTTCTTCATATCAAACAACTCATTTCTATTGCATCAGACCTCCCGTCGTAATATAGCCAATATATCAAATTAAGCCCGTGGACCCAATCACTGTCTACTAAAATTCCCAAATAACTCTAAACTTTCCTCAAGGTGTGTAGTTACCCTACCACTAAACCCATATTCTCCTCTGCCACTCTCCCACTTTGGCCAAACCCTCTTCTTTAAGCAACTACTCAACTTTCGCTTCTTACACTTGGCCTTCCAAAAAACTTAACCACCGCAAGGCACCTCCCACATGTACTTCCTCATCCTTCGCTGCCCAGTTGTTTCCTTAAATAAAAATCTATCTCCGTAGTACTTGAACCAACAGATCGCTACTAACTTTAAACCTTCCTGAAGATCGTCTTTCTCGGGCCATCAACATAAAAAATACTGATTCCATCCTGAACCACCGCATGCCGCGATCTCTGGTAGCCGCTTCCACGACACTATTTCACAATACCTGGCCCAAGGGCAAATTAAAGAAGACTATAACACCGGTGAACTTAACTCATTCAATCAAGGACGACGACACCTCGCGGATAAAAATTCCACCACGCTCGAGAATACCAAGTCTCGTTACTTCATCAACCCAACCCCGAACATTTATAGTCTGATTTCCTTTCCTCTGTCCAAATCTCTGAATCATGCGCTGAGTAAACCTCCTTTCAAGCCATTCACTGCCCCGACACATAGGCAAGCATCATACCATCACATCAATACTGCGCGATAACCATTCATGAGCATCATAGCAACCTGTGCATAGCCTTAAAGCTCTTAGAAGTATAACTACTGAGCTGAAATGACATAATATCCTTTTGCAAGGCGACGATAATAGCCCAAACAACTACGCAGGGAGAAACATCCCGCACCACATCTGTAGTATCTTTACAGTTCCTCGATTCCCAATTTATAATAAGCGCTTCACGTCGCATAAGATTGAATGGAAAGGAAATGAAGGCATAAGCCTCAAAGAAATCAAACCGCACGATGAGGAATCAAGAAGGGAAGTGCTCCTAACAGCCATGTAGCCTCTCGAAGATAAGTACAGACGTCTTCGTACCAATCTGCAAGACTCTACTAGACTTGCTCATGACTCGTGAGACCTAAGTTAACCTAGTGCTATGATACCATGTTATCACGACCCAAAATCTATTAAAGGTCGTGATGGCACCGGACACCACGGTCAGGCAAGCCAAGACCAAGACATTAATTAAATTCACATTTTAGTATTTTTGAAATTATTTCTTTTCCTTACATTAAACAATATATAATGAACTTCACTGAGTAAATAACAGCGTCTTTAACAAATTTAAATACTGAAACATCCCATAGTCATCCTAGAACCCGGTGTCACAAGTGCATGATCATCAATTAAGAATTATACATAAAATATAGCATTTGTCTGGAATACAAATTGGACAGAAAAAGAAATATAATACTCTGAAGGGGACTCTATTGGCTGCGGGTCGTCTCGAGAAATGCAGTCACCTAAGTCTCCGTATCAACCATGTCGGTACGCCCACCTAGGCCACTAGACATATATATGCCAGTGCAACAAAAATGCACAACAAGTGTAGTATGAGTATAAAAATAACGCGTACCCAGTAAGTATCTAGTCTAACCTCGAAAAAGTAGTAACAAGAGGTTGACTTCAACACTTACTAGTGGTCCAATAATATAATCAATCGTGGGTTTATTAAAAACAACAGTAAACTCAAGGGAATCATGAAGCAAGTAAATAACCCGTTTGGTAATAAGAGATTTCCAATTCCATATTTCATCGTTTATCAATTTATCTCAGGTCAGGGAGGTAATATCATTATTTATAAATTTCAAGGCAAGCAATACAAGCATGCACAAATTATGACGAGGTCGTACCGCCCGATACAACAAAATATTTAAACTATGCACTGTTAGAGGGTCGAATGGTGCGAACCATAGATGCATCTATTACCCCACTCGTGAATCATACATGCGACACAGTCAAATATAAGTAAACACATCAAACATTCAATCAAGAATTCATCGGGGAAATATTTACCCAAAGAAATGGCAACTTCTCTTTAACGGTCAAGAAAATAATGTTTAACTTTTTTAGAAATTCATTTACCAATTCGATATGATTTAAGCAATTTAAATTGTCAATAAGGCTACAAATATTTCAAGTATAGCATGCTTTCGGGTCCTAGACTATCCAGACTTAAGCATAATAGTAGTTACGCACGGACCCTCGTCCCCTCGTGCGTACGTAGCCCCCATAAATAAAAGCACATATTTAATTATTTCACATATGGGGATAATTCCCTCTTACAATATTAGAAAGGAGACTTACCTTGCTCCAAAGTTCCATAACCGGTTTCTAAGCCCTTACGACGACTCAGACCGATGCTCAATGCTCCAAAACTAGCCAATAATTATGCAAACCCATTAATATATACTCACATACTTATAACAATTCAATTTATATCAATCTCCAACTCTGCTTGGAAAATTGGTAAAATCATTCTCGGGACCACGTACTCAGATTCTGAAATTTTTCGCAGACAAACATTACCCATAACATTACGAACTCAAATATATAATTTATTCCCAATTCCATGTCCAAAATCGTGGTCAAAATCCAAAAATATAAATTTCTAGGTTTTTCTTCAAAACCCCAAATTTTCACTAATTTCTCATGATTTTCCATGTAAAAATCTGGATATAATCTAAGTATTTAACTTAGTAGGTGAAAATCACTTACCTTGACATAGATGAAGAAAATGGAGCTCCAAAATCGCTCCTAGGTCGGCTCCCATGGAGGAAATGAGATGAAAATGGCCAAACCCCCATTTTGCAACTTATATTCTGCCTAGGCCTCCCTTCTACGTGATCGCGGAAAAGACATCGTGATCGCGAAGGCCAAACAGACCTCACCCAAAATTCCTTCTCCACATTCGCGTTCCACTGAATGCGTTCACATAGGCCAAACGGCCTCCTGCCCCGTTCCCTCATCTCCTCTTCGCGTTCGCAGTTGGTCCTCCACATTCGCGAAGCCTTGCCAGGCCCACCTACGCGTTTGCAGGCCCCTCACCGCATTCACGTAGGGTATAAAAAAGCTTTGAAACTTTGAATTCGAATTAGGGTTTTCAAAAATCATTATTTGTTTGGATTGAGTGTTGTTACAAACAATTGGGAATATGGTTTGGAGTTTATATCTCAATTTTGAGGGGTTTTGGTGAAGATTAGACTTGGTTTTGGCTGAATTTCAGATTGAAACTCGAAGAAGAAGAACACATGATACACATTATATTTACGAAATTGTAGTAAAATTGTATTCTGTTGTTTATATATTTTTCTTTTATTTATTTAACTACTGTATGAAAGTTGAACAACATTGTATTAAAATTATATTTAAGTTGTATGATATTGTAGTTGCATATACCTAGTAGAAATAATATATGAAAGTTGTAGATAAGAGTTGAAAATGCAACTATCAAAGTCTGTTTTTAGTATTGTAATTGGAAGTAATGATATAATTAAATTCATTTCTATGCAAGATATATAGCTTCTGTCAAAGATATGGGGAGAAAGAGAGAATCTGGAGAGAAGAGGGGAGAGAGGAGAGGACAAAAGGAAAAGAGTGTAACTAAATCCTTGATTGAAGGCAGGTGGATTGTATATATTTTGTAAACAAAACTTGTTTATGTCAGGTAATTAACTAAACATGGACATTAAGGGTAATAAAGTTTCAAATAGTGTATAAGAATGAAAAAATACCTTAAAGAAATTAGGATCAAGTTTGAAAATTGAGTTTTATTTATTTATTTATGTTTCCCCAAAAAGTAATATTCAAAATTTCAAACGAAACAAAAAGAGAAAAAATTCGTCCAGTTTCTCTTCTCAAATAAGCTTCCCAATAGCTTTCCCTCCAAGATTTGTATAACTCCACCTCGTTTTCATTTCCCTCCGAATTTCAAAAACTCGAATTTCAAAAACTTTCATTGCTCTTCACATGGCCCCTACTATTATCTTCCTATATATATAATTCATTGAAACTTTCATATCTCTTCATCAATTTACACTATCAAACAAATCACATCTGATAAAATTTCCACAATTTTGCCGCCATGACCTTTTCATCTTCTGTTAAAGACCCAATATGTGTAACCACAAAGCCCAATTATCGGCCGACCGGCGAAATCCATGTTATTATTGGTCCTATGTTTGCTGGAAAAACAACTGCTCTTCTTCGCCGTGTCAAATTGGAATCTAACGACGGCAGGTACTACTAGTACTGTTCTTGTTAATTTGTTTGTCTCATAATTTTGCGCTACTTTTTTTGTTACATTAGTTTGATTTCCGAGTGCAAATTTATATGTTTCTAAGTGACGTGAAAAGAACTAGGAGTTTTAATTTATTGCTAGTAGAGGCTGATCCATGATCTAAAGGTGGTAGACCCATCTTTTTGCGGTTTGTAAATTTGTATAGTAGATGAAAATATGTTTTGTGTGTATCCAAATATGCTGAATTATGCAAAAAAAAAAAAAAAAAAAAAAAAAAAAAAAAAAAAAAAAAAAAAAAAAA